CCCCCTCCCCCACCAACCCACTTGGGGCAGCCATCACCGCCCCTGCCCCTTTATCTACCTCTCTCCTTGTCTCTCTAGTCCTGATGAGAAAAATAATCAATATGGTGCAGAACTTTTGGTATTTGGAGACCTTTTGGTTCCCAAATCAAACAAAACACAACAATATGGGAGGTGATAATAACAAAGTTTTCTTATCCCTTTAATTAAAAAGTTAAAAACCATAAAAAAGAAAACAAAATGGAAAAAAGAAAGAGAAAGGAATGACTCCAGTCCAGGCTCTCCTCCCCAACCCCCGCAAACTCACACACCCTTCTTGCAGCAAACCTTCCCTTCAATGGCGGACCAAATTCATGGTAAAAGCCCTGCACCCCATTAATTCAGCAAACCTTCTTGTTCAAAAAGAGAAGAGAGTAAATATGGGTTTTCCAATTTTTTTTTTCTAAAAACTTTAATTTTCTTCTCTAAATATGTTATATCTTTTATTAAAGCCACATGGCTCTATATGATTGGATGTGTGGCCATTTATGTGCCACGACAGCATTTTAACAGAAAATGTAACGGAAGTTAACGGTAGAGACCATTTTGATTTGTAAAGGGTAATTTTAAAGTCTATTAGTATCACAAAAAACCCTTAAGGACGAAAGATAATAATTTCACAAACCTCAAGGGCTGTTTGTGATAAAAAAACATAAAAAAATTATTATTTACCATGCTGAATTGAATAGTTTGACTTTTCTCGATGCCCATCTTAACCCCAATAATATCTCTTGATTATCTGTTCTTGAAGTAAATAGAGAAACAACTTTTACCCCATTATATATTGGCCCTGAATAAATGTTTGTGAATGACATCCATAACATTATTTACAACATAAAAAAATCCTTATAAGGTAAATTTCTTTGTTTGGTCAATGGTAAAATTTGATTGACAGTTGAACTCGGGTCAGCGGGCAAATTTGGACTCGGGTCATCAGGGACATTTGGACTCGGGTCCGTTGCTACTTTTCTTTTTTCCTCACATTCACACTCACACAGTCAGAGTTCACTCACCCACGGACTTATATTCAAAGGAGCTTCTCAGGCGAAAGACAGAGAGAAAGTAAACCCTCTCTTCACTGAGTCAGCGAGCGAGTTCGAATGGCCGATCCTCTGGAGAGGCTGGGATCGGAGGCCATAGGGCTTGAATCGAGCATCAAGGACGACCTCTCCATGGAGATCGATCCTCCTTTCAAAGAGAACACGGCCACAGCCGACGACTGGAGAAAGGCGCTCAGCAAGGTCGTCCCAGCCGTCGTCGTTTTGAGGACAACGGCGTGTCGTGCCTTCGACACTGAGGCCGCTGGTGCTAGCTATGCCACCGGCTTTGTCGTCGATAAGCGCCGCGGGATCATCCTCACCAATCGCCATGTTGTCAAGCCTGGTATTTTTGTGGTTCTCAGATTTCTTTTTCGTTTGGTTCCTGAGAAAGTGTGAGAGAAAGAAACAGAAACTAATGATTTTGAATGTTTAAGTTAATTCGAGTTCAGAAAGTTTCCTTCTTTAAGTTTCTTAGGTGCTTGGTAATGATTGTCTAGTCTGTTAATTTTCTGCCTATTTGATAGCTGAAAAATGTGCGAAGTGAAAAGAAAGGGATTATCTCTTTGGGACAGGAGTAAAAGTGTAAATCTTGTCTTTCTTGGATTTGAAGAATTTTTAGTTACGGAAAATATTGCTACTGTATGGTCAATATTTACCTTGTGAGAAATTGGATTGTTGCTTGTCTATGGTTATTATGTTTACTGAGAAAATGGGAGTTTGATAGTTGTATTACGTTTTCTAATATTAAATTTGAAAATATCGATGGAAATGATTTCCACAATCGATACTGGTGCAGAACTTGGGTTTTTAATTCAATAAACTAATCTGGAGTCTCTGTAATTTATTTATTTATTTTAAAAATCAGATAAAAAAATGTAAGAAAAATATGTCAAAACTTCAACTTTCAATTGTGTAATAATTGTCTGGACAGAACAACATTTAGTGCCTTTTCTTTTTCTGTCTTTTCAACTGAACCTGATATAAGGATCTTCAACTGCTTTGCTATCCTTCTAATTCTGTTTCTTTGGTACTGTAGGACCTGTAGTTGCAGAAGCCATGTTTGTGAACCGTGAAGAAGTTCCAGTATACCCTATATATAGGGATCCGGTGAGTAAATTCTTCTTTTATGTTTGATTTATGATCTACCATTGCACGATGGTTTGGAAAAATTTTCTTGTTTTACACCATTAAATAATCTCATATCCACCAGGTGTGATTTGGTTCCTCATGCCTCTGCCATTCTCTTACTTACCATAGAAAATGAAAGATTGGTATTGCAGATTGATCAGTTTATTTCTTTAATTGATTTAAGATTTGTCAAATTTCCAATTCAGTTCTTCAAATCGTAAGACATCATTGTGATTTTGGTAAAGCAAAAATAAGATTATCTATTTATATTGTTCCTCATACAAGTATGACCACAATATGCACATGCAGTGGCGATCCAAGAATTTTCTTTCCCTGGGGCAAGAAAACACTCCTACCAAGTCACTAATAATGAAGATCAATCTAGTCTTAAATGTAAAAAGACACATCATATAAACATATCCATGCACAAACTAGATACAACGAGCTTTACACCTTCTGCCTAATTCTTTTATTGCAAGAAGCAAAGAGAAGAATGAGATATGAAATAGTGAGTCCAGAGAACAATAACATAAGTAAAGGAATAGAGCATGTTGCCCTCCTTGCCCTGCCTTAGTCTTCTTTGAGGCGTTTTATTAAACAGCTTGCCCCCATATAGCAAAAAAATTCATGAAAACTTGCACCTTGAACATGATTGAGTAAAGGCAAGTGCCTTCACTGGACCCTTAATGGATCCTTCAATGTGCACATGACATTTTCATTAGTCAGGAATGTACAATATTTTCCATTAGTCAACAAGTAGTCTGCAAGCAATAGCACAGCAAAAAGCAAAACACTAGTTTACTGCACTAGCCATTCTTTTCTTCAAATTGCATGTTGCAGGCATTTGGAAGTTTTAGCTTGACAATAAAATATTCTCTGCTTTTCATAACAAGAACTTTGACAATATTGACTCACATCTAGCTTTAATCAAACATGTTGGCCCTTTGTAACAGGCGCAAATATGATGTCTTTACATTCAATGTGTGTTACTGACATCTTGCGTATATTGGTAGCACTAATATTTGTATATATTTTTTCAGGTACATGATTTTGGCTTCTTTTGTTATGATCCTGGTGCAATACAGTTTCTTAATTATGAAGAGATTCCTCTGGCCCCTGAGGCTGCTTGTGTTGGTCTAGAAATCAGGGTTGTCGGTAACGATAGTGGTGAAAAGGTATTCATTCGTGAATTTTGTGCTTTCACTTAATGCCTCTTAATTGTTTGTCTTACATTTAAGCGACTTGTTCTTTAGTTGACTCACTTCATTTTTTAGGTTTCTATTTTAGCTGGTACTCTTGCTCGTTTGGATAGGGATGCTCCTCATTACAAAAAGTACGTATCGGCTTTACTAACATTTGCTATATTACTTTGTTCCTTTTCTTTTATTCTTGATAACCAATGAAATGACTACATTATCCTATATTTATAGTATAGTTATGTTCAAAATAAGAATGTTACATGTAATGGTACTTGTTTGTTTTGGATAAGCAAAACTATTTTGAGGACAACTAGTGCATGGGATGTATACTAGACAGACAGATGTGTATATTGAAAAGAAAGCTTGATGCTTTAGCATTTGATGGTCTAGGAAAAACCAGAGTTAACAAAATTAACAAACTGACACCCATGTGAAAGGAATATTCAAAAAGCTGTCGGTGTCATTAATGGAAGAGTGCATGGGATGCATACTAGGCAGATATGTATAGTAAAAAGAAAGCTTGATGCTTTAGCATCTGATGGTCTAGGAAAAACCAGGGTTAACAAAATTAACAAACTGACACCCATGTGAAAGGAATATTAGAAAAGCTGTCTTTGTCATTCATGTAAGAGGCTCCAACCCCACTGATGCTCTATTGGTGTTCTTTGTTATAAAAGAAAAAAAATAAAAAATAAACAAAAGCCCAAAGGAGGAGCTCTTCAAGAACTTTTAACATTCTTGCTTACCTAAATTTTTAAGCAGATCCATTGAACCATAGAATTTGTTGTTTCTAGTATGCCTTAGATGCTTACATCATAGTTTAGATTTCCTCAGTGACAGGACAATGCAAAAGTAAATCATCCTCTGTTTTGATCGTCATGCTTAACATATAAGACCAACTACGGACAATCTGTTTTCTCCTCACTTGATTTTCCAGTGAGTTTGTTCAAAAGCAGCAGTTGATGGAAACAATAAAAGCCTTTGCTGTACCCCCAGCTCTCTGAGTACTCTTAAATGGAAAAGTGCTTACAATAAACTTTACAGTGCTACTTCCTTACTTCTGAGTGGAAATCTTGATTTCACCTAATCTGCAACCTCTAATTAAATGCAGGGATATGATTGTGAAAATTGAAACCAACCCAAACTACAGGGAGCAAAGTATAATTAGACCTTTTAATAAATTTCTTTCCGAAGGTTTGCCCAAATTAAGACAACACAACCGAGGCTGTTATATTATGCTAGTAACCTATGATAGGAAGTAACCTGAACCATCTGAGCATTTGTTCTTCAGACTCTTTAATACAGGTTTACTGCTTTTTCTGGCTAATCGTGATTGTGTTCTTGCACAGGGATGGTTACAATGACTTCAATACATTCTACATGCAAGTAAGTGGCATATTTTTTATTTATGCTACCTTATAATTTCATGTATTCCTCCTACGCTGTAGTAGTTTTTGGGTTTAAAGTTTTGTGACATTTCCATTTGAGTCTGCTTCAGAGTATTTCTTTTTGTAAAAAATGCTCCTATGAACGATATATTCTAAGCGCCTCTCAGTGCTCTAAACATCCAGCTTTTGGATGGATTTGAATGATCGATATACCTAAGTGTTTGTATTCTTTCTAACCACTGAAAGTGGTTGGCGCTTATAGACGCTTAAATGCGTCACTTATATGAGCGTTCCTGTTTCTTTTGTAGGGTAGATATTTTGGGCTATACTTGGGCCGTATTGTACTGCTTTATTGGTTGTTGGGTGAGGATGAAGATATAAGGTTCAACAAAGGGAAGGAGATTCCATTTACAAAAAGGTAATTAGAAGGATAATTTAATCAACAAGAGAAGATTGATGAGTAGAAAACAGAAGTTTGTTGCTTCAACATATATTAATCTTAATATATGGCAATTTCTGACTGGCTGAGGGTTTTTAATTGTACATGTGCAATATTTTTCTACGGGCTTTTCTTTTTTCCCACTTTGATACCTGAAGCTGTACCCATTTATCAATTCAGTACATGAAGAATAATTTGTCCCCATTTAGTCCCTCTATTAATTTTGTGTCCAATAAATCAAAATTTCATTAGAACGGTTAATATATCTCAGGGGCAATTTTGTGTCCTACTTATTATTATTGAAGGCACATTTAATGAACAATACGTAAGTACCAAAATTGTGCCTGAGATTTGTTAACCATTTGTACGAAAGTTTGATTTGATATTCAAAAAAATTAAGTTAGGGCTTAAATTGGAACACAAATTATTGTTCAGGAACTTAATTGAGGCCAAAGTGTAAAAAACCCTTTTAAACTAGGTAGTAGATGCTGTTATAAAATAAAAAGGAAGACGGAACATAATCTGAGGTGAGCATTTATGCCTTTATAAATGCCCTTCGTCCTCCTTGCTTCATGTTGGCCATGTTTGCCCCAGGAAAATGTTTATAGTACTAGACAGCACTTCTTCAGAAAAATAAGCTTCTAAGGATGATGTAATGTTAATGTTATCTGCTGAAAGTCTTGATTGCAAAGAATCCTGTGTCATGCTAATTTCTTTATTGTTATGGGAGGAGAATGAGTTCTTACCGGGGTACATTAATGCATTACCGATTTTTTCTTGAAACATTCAAGCCTTGTCTGACATTTCTGTCTCAGTTCTCTGGAATTAAACTTTTTCTTTCCTTTTTTATTTTACAACAAACTAGTGTATTTCCAACTCATGTGAGTTGGGAGAAATTTCTTTGGTCCTTTAAATGATGCTCGGGCGACATAGTGATTCCTTGTAAAACTTACACATGAAGTTTGTACGTAAGGTAATTGGCTTTATGCTTTAATTTATGCTACTGATAAATCTAAATAGAGTCCATCAAGGGCATAAATGTAATGTTAGAATCTGGCGGAGTTTATATGTGAATATTACGTTGCACTGGCAGAGGAATTTTACAGATGAAGCTTTGAGATGTGGGCAAATATACATTTTTGGTCCTTTGTGACAATAAGGACTGGATCATGACTGATTCATATTGAATGACTTTGCATTTTTCTTTTTGTCTGGGAATGACTTAGCGTTGTTGGTAGACAATTGGCAATGTATCTTTCGCTGCTAGAAGCTTCAGCTAAAAATTCACATCTATATTTATTTGTTAATTGTATTTGTTATAGGCTGCATCTGGCACAAAAGGTGGTTCCAGTGGATCTCCTGTGGTTGATTGGTTAGGCAGGGCAGTGGCCTTGAATGCTGGTAGCAAGTCATCAAGCGCTTCAGCTTTTTTCTTACCCTTAGAACGAGTAAGTGCATTATATATATCTCCTGAATCTTTATTGATTCTGCATGGGGATTATTTAGTTTTGTAACAATTATAATTTGTAACATTGAGTTATTCAAACTGCAGGTTGTGAGGGCATTGAAGTTTCTCCAGAAAGGCAGAGATTCCTTTGTCAATAAATGGGAGGCAGTCTCTATACCTCGTGGTACGCTTCAGGTTTGTGTTGGAATTATCCTGAAAGGGAATCACTTCAATTAAATTGTTTCCCAATTTTTAAGAGTTTCATAGACACAAGAGTACTGCTATTTTGGTGGGGAGTTAACCAAATTCCTCCCAGAGCGATTTTTACCTTGTAGGTTGCATTTTTTAGGTAACAGAAATGGTGTTATTTACAACTTATTATTTGTATGTAGGCATACAAAAACTGTCTACACTGAAATGGAGTATTGAAAACAGTTTATTTAATTTTTTATTTATTTTATGGAGGGTAGGTAGGATAAATAAATACATAAAGATACGGGAATTCTTAATTATAGTACCTGATTAATTTGAGTTTTTGATAACAAACAAAGAATTTCATGCTGTTCAGAATTTTTCTACTGTGGTTTATCTTAGTTTTTTTTATACATTATTTGAGGAATTATTATTTTGACGCAGCTTATGTAATTTATAATATAGGTGACTTTTGTCCATAAAGGATTTGATGAGACACGCCGACTTGGCCTTCAGAGTGAAACAGAGCAGGTTTTTTTTTCTTTTTTCCATCTGCTTTTCCCATATTTCACAATTGCCATGAAAAGTAGGGTGCCTCAAATAACTTGTTGTTTTGATTTGTTTAGTTAGTTCGTCATGCATCTCCCCTGGGTGAAACTGGGATGCTTGTTGTTGAGAATGTGGTGAGTATTCCTGTAGACTTTGAAATTGTATCAAATTTGTCCTTTTTTTCCCATGGTGATACAATGCTCACTTCTAGGATGCATATGATGCTGGCCTTGTTTCAGGTACCTGGTGGTCCAGCTTACAAGTGTTTGGAGCCAGGTGATGTTCTTGTTTGCATGAATGGGGAAGTAAGTTATGCTTTTCATCTCACATTAACTTTATCATTTATAGAAATAAGCTGCTTAGATGACGTGCGTAATCATTGCTACATCTGGTTTTATTCTTTATGCATCTGACTACCACTTCATTTGCAAATGTTGGAATCACATTATAAAATTTACTTTTCCCACTTGCCAACCATCTATATGGGGCTACAAATCTATAAAAAAAGTCTCATTGATGAGTTATGAGATTCCTTTAACTTGATATTCACTACATAACACCATAGTTTTACTTGTTTTGAATGGTTGCTCCTTTTGCAAAATGTTTTTTCAGATTCCATTAATGAACATTTTTTGTGGTCCATACGTTTATTTTAGATGACATAAGCTAGGATTTAACTTTTTCATTTGTCTTTGTTTATGATCATTCCAAAGTAATTACTTTTAGGCTCTATATGATTGTGGGGGAAATAAACCTGAAAGTCTTTTCCTGCAGGACAGTACTTACACGAGTGAATCTTACATATTGAATTCTTTGTGCAGGTAATTACCCAATTCCTGAAAATGGAGACCTTACTTGATGACAGTGTTAATCAAAAGATTGAAATGCAAATTGAAAGGGGTGGCAAACCATTAACTGTAGATTTGGTGGTGAGAGTTTTTCTTGTTTGGTATTGGTGTTATGCTACAGAAAAGTCTCATATGTTTGTCTAAATAATTTAGTGCAGTGGCCACCATTTGGTGCAATGTTCTGTAATTCTTAATGGAGGTGCTGCAAGGTTTCCCTCCTAAAACCAACTGCAAAAAGTTGCCCCTCTAACTCAAAATTAGTGTTTAACCACCTCGAAGGACTTTCTGTCCATCTCTAGATATAGGCATTCAAAATTTATATATTCCATTTCTTGGATATGAACTCCTTGATGTTTGGGTTTAAGTTAAGTTTTGTTTCTTAAAATGGAGCCAAGTTTATTATTATGTGTTTGATTTTCTTAATTGGTTGACTTATTTTGGTAATTTAGTGTAACATATATTTGACTGCTTGGAACAACATCAAAAACAAAAATCATAGGTGACAGTGACACTATGAAAAGATTACTAGGAGTTGAAAACTTATAGAACCTCATTAAAAAACATGTGGGGAAGAAAAAAGGAAAGCAAAAATGACAACAGTTAGACTTGGAAACATCCTTAGTCTATTTAGATGAAAGCATTGAAACAGGTGGATCAGATGTCTAGAAATTAAGGTAATTCGAAACATCCTTAGTCTATTTAGATGAAATCACCGAAACAGGTGGATTGGTCGTCTAGAAATTAAGGTAATTCATCTGTTAATGATGCTCTGATGGCGCTTTAGACATGGCTAGGTTAGAGGTGTTTTCTCTGACAATTTTTTTATGTCACAAGTCAACTTTTCTTGTGTAAGCCTTTGTCGGGAAGCACTTAATTTAGATAGAGTTAATTTTCTTAGATGGATGCTTGGCAAATTGCATCTTGAGTTTTTATCTCTGAAATTTTGCCTCATTAACATTGGATGTGAATGGTTGCTTCATAAAACGGTGGCCCTCCTTCCTCCCCCTCTTCTTCATCACAAATAATGATGAAGGAGAGACTAATTCCTAATTTCCTATATTACGCCGCAGACTCTTAAGACCTTTCATTTTCTCCAGTGGGCTAGCTTTGAACTTAAACTTATTGAGGTCTCAATTAACACATAATTTATTCATGTGCATTATCTGCTTGGTTGCAGTTTGGTGGTATTCCTTTATTTTGTTGCAGTGTTTTTATTGCTGTTCCATAAATAAAATTTGCCATCTTGTTTATTTCAGGTGCAGGATTTACACTCAATAACCCCTAATTACTTCTTAGAAGTAAGTGGTGCAGTGATACACCCTCTCTCCTACCAACAGGTTGGCGGATTTTGTGGTTTCTGTTTAGTATTTTTGAGTGATCTAACAATTTGGTGCAGTGTTATTGTTCTCTTAGTCGTGTTTGTTTGCATTTGTGTTTGTACTCAGTATTTGGCATGCTGTTAACAAGCCAAGTGCGTTTCTTTTGCATATATTGCATGTTTATATTATCCTATATTCTATGGAGATAGTTGATTAAAAGGTGCATAAGAGGCCTTATTTGAAATATGTTGGACCTGCCTGCTGAAATACTACTTCCTCGTGTTTTTATGCCTTTCACCATGGATTTTCATCTTAATTTGCCTGACTTGTATTAAACCTTTCACTTAATATCATGATATTTTGGCTTCTAAAACACTTCTTTTTCATACAGGCTAGAAATTTTCGTTTCCATTGTGGCCTTGTGTATGTGTCAGAACCAGGGTATGTTCTCTTGATCTTGTGCTATATGTTTAGCTTATTGTTATTGTTATTGTGTATGGGATAATGTTATCAGTTTTCTGTATCATCGGTTGCCATTTTTCCTGAAAAAAATCAGTTGTGCATAATGATAATTAAGGATTCCCTGTAACTTTTTCTGTAAGAAGCAAATGTATTCAGGGGTTTATCTATCATGAATTGTGTTTAAAGCTGCCAAAGAGGATTTGTTAATCAAATGTTAGGACTAGGCTTCCACCCCCCAATATTTATTTGTTTTTTTATTTTCTAATTTTTGCTAAGTAGTAATCCAAGTTATATTTGAAAGGGTGAAACTCCATATAGCAAATTGACTGAAGAAGGGATTCAATGAGGTGAGAATTAAAGACTTTTGTCTCTTAAACCTTCTATGCTAAATAGAAAGATCTCAAACCTGGTTATTTGACCATAGGTAAAAAGATATGAGAAACGTAAAGACTTTTGTCACTGAATAAATGTACTGAAAACCTATTCACTTCAACTTTGAAATTTCAAAATCATAGTTGTTACCAGTGTAATCTGTATTCATCATGTGTCATGTTTTAATTCAGATATTTTGAAGGGTGAATTTGGAAAGTAGAATAGGCCATGGTCTTTCTTTATTTTGATTTGCAGTAGGCCTCTTGACATAATTGATCTGTTATTTTAAATTTTTGCAGATATATGCTCTTTAGAGCTGGAGTTCCTCGCCATGCTATCATTAAGAAGTTTGCTGGTGAGGAAATATCACGACTTGAGGATCTAATTTCAGTTCTATGCAAGCTATCTCGGGGTGCTCGAGTGCCATTAGAGTATATAAGCTACATGGATCGTCATCGAAGGAAGGTATATGTTGATTTAATCTGTGATAATCTTCCACCAACGTATGAAAATAGTTGCTCCCTCTGCTGGTTTCCAAAATTCATCTTTAAGATTACATAAAGGAAAAGCAACATAGAGTCATTAGTCTGAGGTTAAGGGTCTAGTTCTGATTTCTGAAAGATAGAGTCCACTAGTCTGAGGTTTTTCCGATGAAACCCAGCAGAGACTTGCAATGAGCTGCCCCATTAGAGTCATTAGCAAAATAAGCTAATTGAATTATTTTATTTTCTATTTTTGAATAAGAAACACAGAATTTATTGATGAAAAGAAAGAATATACAGGTCGGATGGAGAAGTTTATCATGCCCAAATTAACACCCTCAAGAATCACAAATTTTATTTGAATTGAAACATCCAATCTAAAAGAATTACATGAAGGGAAGATGCCCAAATAGAAGCTAAAAAAATTAATTCTACCCAAAATAATTCCACTTACCCCTCCCCTGTTCTAACAAATAAATCTTTTATCATATACATTATGATAGTGTATGGATTCTACAGAAATAGAAAACATTGGTTCACATTATTATATACAAGCATCCTTATCCTATTATTATGAGGGATCTTGTAGCTGTTGTGAAGTGATCTGCCTTTAGTGTTGGGTTTCTGGGTTTTCTCTGGGAACTTGTTTCGTTTCTTTGTTTTTGCATGGGTTTCGTGTCTTTGTTTCTTTTGTTTGCTTTGTTCGTGTTGGCTGTGGTGTGAGGATTTCTCATCCTCTTCTTTGCCCCGCTGGGGTTTTTATTTATTATATTCTACATTTCTATTTAAATAATAATTATTATTATATACAAGCGAGATCTCTTTTTTTTTCTCTCTCTCTCTCTCTCTCTCTCTCCCCCTCCCCCTGGCTATTGGTTATGTTTTGCTGACTGTTTCGGTGGCTGCAGTCAGTCCTGGTCACGGTTGATCGCCATGAATGGTATGCCCCTCCACAGATATACACACGTGATGATTGTACGGGCCTTTGGACTGCCAAGCCTGCTTTTCAACCTGATGCTATTCTGCTATCATCTGGTATCAATGGTCACAGAGGTACAGGAAGCCAAGCAGGTCCTCTAAGTAGTGAGGTCATTTCTGTGGGACACATACATCGCGATAGCCATGAGGAATTGACTGATGGCGTCGCTAGTATGGAAACCAGTTATGAGCATGCTTCTGAAGGAGCACATTCTCGGGATGAATTTGATGCTGGAACAAAGAAGCGGCGAGTGAAGGAGAATTTTTCATCTGATGGAAGTGTTGTTGCTGACTGTTCTTTTCCCGAAACAAATGAAGGTAACCTGGAGGATCCAAATACCATGGAGAATGCTGTTATGGGAGATTTTCAAGCTGCAAATGTAGCAACTGCTAATGCTTCATTAGCTGAACGTGCTATAGAGCCGACTCTCGTTATGCTTGAGGTACCCATATTGGGGATTTTATATCATTTTAAGTATGCAAAGTCCTTTCCATTCCTTTTTTCCTTCTATTTATTACTTCCCTGAGTGTTAAGCTCTTTGTTTTCGAAAGGAAAATGGCATTATTCATTGTCTTTGTAGTACGCTTTCTCTCTCTCACACACACACACACTCACAATTTTTCCAGAGGCAGAAGCACAATGGCAGAGAGATATGTTGTAAGGCAATCTTTTCAATCTTAAGAAGTGATCTCATATAATTGCAGGTTCATGTACCACCATCTTGTATGCTCGATGGTGTACATTCACAACATTTTTTTGGGACTGGTGTAATTATCTATCATTCTCAAAACATGGGATTGGTTGCTGTTGACAAGAACACAGTTGCAATATCTGCATCTGACGTGATGCTATCGTTCGCTGCTTTTCCAATTGAAATTCCAGGCGAGGTAAATCAATAACATGTAAGCAGATGTAGATAATGATTGTTAGATATTTTGCCTAAGCTGCCTAGTTTAAATTTCAGGTGGTTTTTCTCCACCCTGTTCACAATTATGCTCTCATTTCATATGATCCCTTGGCCCTGGGAGCTGTTGGTACCTCTGTTGTTCGTGCTGCTGAACTACTTCCTGGTAGGTTTTTCTTTTCACCTAATTTCTCTATTTTAAACTCAATTTTCATGCATTGCATATGTGTTGTTATAGATTACAATTATATTACTGCTAATAGTTATAATTTTTTTTTTCATCTTGCATAATTGTGTATCTAAATTGAAATTATTGTTAATTATTAGATTTATTTACCGAAAAGCATTGATTAAGGATTTGGTTGAATGCTTTTCTATTATTTTAAACTTGTATAATTATTTAAGTGAAATTGGAGTTTTATTCCATTAAAGCGTTTGTTACAACACTTGTTTAGGTAATGTTGGGCAAGAATTCTCACTTCTATAGATAATATGGATATGTACTGGTTTGTCAACTTCCTGATTCATTATCCATTTCTACTTTTGTATTGTTAGAAAGTATTGTCCAATGTACTACTAACTGTTAAAGTTTTTACAAACAGTGGTAAACCAACGAAATTCAACATGGTATTAGAGCTTAAAACCCTGAGTTCGAATCCTTGCAACTCTGACCTTCCAATTGACATTGAATTCCACGTTTTGGTTTCTCTAGCTCTGAAGAGAGGTTCATATGTGAGGAGTGGTAGAACTTATACTTTAAAAATAATAGATGAATAATGGGTTAAACTTTTGTGAACAATGGTAAACCAACGAAGTTTACATTTCTACATGGTTCTGTTCCTTTGGATCTCTATCTATATTTTGACTTTAAAAGGGACGTTAATGGGTAGTGGAGGGTTTCAGTTTCCATATAAAAAGCTATTCTTTGTGATTCTTGCCCGAGTATGGATTTGAGCAATTGTATTCTCACCTTCTTGATAGAAAACCGTGGAGGGTTTCCCAGGAAAAAGAGGTTGCACTTAGCTCATAGCACTCTTCTGTGTGCTTGCACTAATCCATAGATATGGTGCTTTGTGTACTTATTTTAGGGTGTTTTGTTACTGTTCTGTCATTTTGAAAGGAGCATAAGGTTGTGTTTCAGATTGTTGACTTTTTTTTAATACAAGCGATAGTCTAAGCTATAAGGGGGAGGGGGTGTTTCTCACACACACACACACACACACACACACACACACACGAGATGCCATGGGGTTCGAACATGAGACCACTGGTCTGCAAGTCAAGACCCTTTTCCACTGGGCTAGATCCCGTTGGCTTGTTGGCTTTATATCTTCGTAATATCTTGAAGTTTTGAAACTTTGAGAGTTTGAGTAATTTCTGGTGTCCCAGCATGTGGCGGTTTGTCTATTTTGTGTCTTTTCTGTTGTGTTCTACTCCATTAAGAGATGCCATGGGGTTCGAACATGAGACCACTGGTCTGCAAGTCAAGACCCTTTTCCACTGGGCTAGATCCCGTTGGCTTGTTGGCTTTATATCTTCGTAATATCTTGAAGTTTTGAAACTTTGAGAGTTTGAGTAATTTCTGGTGTCCCAGCATGTGGCGGTTTGTCTATTTTGTGTCTTTTCTGTTGTGTTCTACTCCATTAATGTGTTTAAACTAATATACTAAACTACTGTCTGAGGCAGATCCTGCGTTACGTCGTGGGGATTCTGTGTATCTTGTGGGGTTAAGTAGAAGCCTACAAGCAACATCTAGAAAGTCCACTGTGACCAACCCTTGTGCTGCATTAAATATTGGCTCCGCTGATTGTCCACGGTACAGAGCAACCAATATGGAAGTCATCGAGCTTGATACTGGTAACTAGAATTCTCATTGTTTAAACTTGAACATGATTTTGCAGTGTTGATTTGATTGATTTTTCATTGTTTTATGTTGTGCTGTGTTCAGATTTTGGTAGTACATTTTCTGGTGTGCTAACTGATGAGCATGGAAGGGTCCAAGCCATCTGGGGTAGCTTTTCAACTCAGGTTTATACTGTTTCCCTCAGCAAAAGAAAAAGAAAAAGTAAAAATAAATCCAGGTATTTCCTTTAACTTCAATTAATTTGATTTTTGTTATTGATTCGTATTTGCAGCTGAAATTTGGTTGCAGTAGCTCAGAAGATCATCAATTTGTTAGAGGCATCCCAATTTATGCAATCAGCCAAGTCCTAGAAAAAATCATTTCTGGTGCTCAAGGCCCTCCTCTTCTCATAAATCGTGTCAAAAGGCCAATGCCTCTAGTAAGAATTTTAGAGGTCGAACTATATCCTACATTGCTTTCAAAAGCCCGAAGTTTTGGTCTGAGTGATGATTGGGTCCAAGTACGTCTTCTTCCTGATACTAAATATTTCTTCTATCTACATCTGTAATTCATACCTGTTATTCTTTTATGTTGGCCTGTGAAATCACTATGATGCTTTTGGAATGAATTTTCTGTTGCTTTTATTATTTGCTCCATACCTGCTTTGTGAGTACTTGTTGCTTTGTGACTTTGGCCTTCTTACCCTTGCATACCCTTATCTTGCTTAACTCATGAGTATTGAATCTCATTCCATCAAATGTTCCATATCACAGAGTTCGGTACGTAGAAACAAGTTTAACCCTTCTTTCCTAAGGGAGTATCATATAATCAGAAAATGTTGGAAATCACATTGCCACTAAATAAAACCTTATCTTGATGATGTCCCTAATGTTACATTGGTATTTTTTCATGATGGATTCCTTAAATTAAGAACACATTACCATTTTCATACCTACTTCTGCAAGAATGAGCCTGGCTGGATCGGAGTGGCCATCCCTAGTTATTAGGCCTTTTCTCTTCCAACTGAGGTATGGAGAGTTGGAGCTGTACATGAAACCCCACACTCATAGTGCTTCCTCCCATGTGTCCTCTTATTGATTGAAGCATCAGAGAGTTTACACTCTATACCTCACCAAATTTTGAACATTTTTAGTGACCTCCCTTTTTAACAATGACCTTTGATCGTGGATTCTGCAACTACTCTGTGTCTTCTAGGGCCACATGTTGTATATAGCTGCTGCTGGATAAGAGGGGCTACCTTCATGGATCTGTTGGCATTAAGGGTAGAACTTAGTAGAGGCTTGTTTGATGTGAAAACTTATTATTAGTGATTATTGGGGAATCATCAAAGTGGTTTTCTTTTTTGTGAAAGGAAATTTGGGGTACTAGTATTACCTACTCCTAGTGTGGATTTCTTGGCATGTATGGTCTCCTTGGAGAAGTTTTGATAGTGCCTAATTCATTAGAAGGGGAGCCATATTTATAAATTGGTATCATCCTAGGAGGCAGCTGAATGTTTGACCGACTTGTGATCATAGTCCTGTCTCGTGATAGTTGTGGGGATCCTTGTCATCAGTCTTTAAAGTCTCTTGGATGTTCTGCTCATCTTTTAATCCCTTATGGGCATCTTGACGTATTTAGTGTTTTTAGATGGAGAGGAGCAGTCAAATCCTTTGACGGCGTGGATTGTTCCATGATAGAGATCAAGCCATATCTCCTTAGGAAAATCCTCTTTTGAAGGTCCTTGGGCCTCTTTTAGGAGATATTCTTCTGTATGTGGGCTGTGTCCTCTGGCATATTTTTTTGAAATAAAATTTACTTGAGAAATCTTGTTAGACTGCAAAGGATGAATATAATTTTCTCCTACTCCCTGGATGGGGGAATGGTCTGCCAGTTTACTATAAACAGTTTGATTTGGTATGTTGATATCCTCTGATCTTTTGTTTTTACTGTTCAACTGAGGAGCCTTATTTCTGATCCATGATTGCGATTGTGCAATTTGCTATTCTTTTCTGTTCATTACTTGAAGTTATATATCAACTATTGGAAAATCATATTCAGACTGCCATTATCGCTGTCGTTGTAGGCTCTTGTCAAGAAAGATCCAATTAGACGACAAGTTTTACGTGTCAAAGGATGTTTAGCTGGATCTAAAGCTGAAAATCTGTTAGAGCAGGGAGACATGGTTTTGGCAATCAATAAGGAACCAGTTACATGTTTCCGTGATGTGGAAAATGTCTGCCAAGCATTAGACAAAAATGAAAACAAAGATGGCAAGCTTGACATGACCATTTTTCGGCAGGTAAAATGAATTTAGTATATTTAGACTCGTTTTCCAATCATTTCAAAATGATCTTTGGGTTAGGGGAAGGCTTGAAGGAACATTTGTGTTTAGGGATGCCTTTACATTATTGTTATTATTAGGCATTGATCTTTAATTTACTTCTCTTTTAAATTACAAGGGAAAAAAAGCTTTACATCCTTTAGAGTCTGATCTCCATGGTTTTCCAGGGACGTGAAATTGATCTTCTTGTGGGAACTGATGTTAGGGATGGGAGTGGTACTACTCGTGTAGTAAATTGGTGTGGGTGTATCGTTCAGGATCCACATCCGGCAGTGCGTGCTCTTGGGTTTCTTCCAGAAGAAGGTCATGGCGTATATGTGGCAAGGTAGGAATTTCTCTTGAAGTTCTTATTAGCAAAATAAATTAAGGGTGTTACAATGGAAGTGATAAAAAGTAAAATTTAAAAATGAAGTTAAATGTATAAACTTCAATACTTCAACCAGAATTCACTTTTAGAGTTTCAAGGTCAGAAAGGAGATATAATAAGAATAATAAAACATGCATAAAGAATTATAATAAAAAAAAAGTCTATTTCCGTGTCCCCCACTACATGTTTTAACTTTTTAGACATTGACTGTATGTCAGTGTTGGAACTGTGTTGTACCCAGAGGAGGTACCCATGTCGATCCTTCATGGATTTGCTATTAGCTGATTTTTTACAGCCTGGTTTTTAGGTGCAGAAATGTTCTGAAGAATCAGGCTAATTTGGGTATCCGGGCTACTAGTCTAAAGCTGGTCAGGCATCTGTTATTTAGACTGTGGTATAATGGTGTTCTATGTAGAGAGGATTATTCTAGGCCCAAATCCTCAATGTTTTACTCCCGAAACTGTCTGCCCGAACTTTGCGAAAGTCCGGGATCCTCACTTAATTACTTAGGCTTTTCTAAAAAGAAATTTGGTGATATTTTGTAACTGACTATGTTATGTTCTATTGTTCAATTTTCTCAATATGCTGATGGATTGTCAAATTTACCAGGTGGTGTCATGGTAGTCCAGTGCATAGGTATGGTCTATATGCTCTTCAGTGGATAGTTGAAGTCAATGGAAAACAGACTCCTGATTTAGATGCTTTTGTGAATGTAACAAAGGTACACTTCACTTTATATTTATATATGTATTTTCTAGCTTATATTCCCGTTACGAGTATGGAGTGGTAAACTGATAATTAACTGAACTGGTAAAAAAATAAAAATAAAATGATCGTGAAGAGAAATAAAGAATTTCATGTTTCAGTTTTGTGTTGAAATATGTTTCTTGTCCATTGTTTTTCTTGTTCATGTGCATCAGTCAGTCTCTTTGTATTTTTTTTTGTTCATGTGTTGTAGAGGAAGCATTTGTTGGCTGGCTGGGCTGGGCCGTAGCCCGGCCAATCCCTAAAATAATAAAGAACTTAGAGGTATATAAATTTGGCCCCATTAGCTCTCCAGCCCTTACCTTCAGCCCAAAAATAAAATATTTTTATTCTCGTTTTCCTTCTAAATTTTTGCTCCAAAATTGCTGCTGCTACTTCTTTCTTCCAAGTAACTTTTGGCAGAAAACTTTCATTCAAAAGAAAAAACTTAGTCTGGAAGTCGAGCCCACCGCACTTTTAAATCCTGGCTGCACCCATGCCCCCAGATTAGTGATCTGTATAAGGGTTTTCGTTACATCCAACGGAAGCCGTAGTTTCTGTATATATATATTTTGTCACAGAATTACGAGTGGGTGTATTATTTTAAGATATATATTAAGCCGTAGTTTCTGTATATATATATTTTGTCACAGAATTACGAGTGGGTGTATTATTTTAAGATATATATTAAGCCGTAGTTTCTGTATATATATATTTTGTCACAGAATTACGAGTGGGTGTATTATTTTAAGATATATATTAAGCCGTAGTTTCTGTATATATATATTTTGTCACAGAATTACGAGTGGGTGTATTATTTTAAGATATATATTAAGCCGTAGTTTCTGTATATATATATTTTGTCACAGAATTACGAGTGGGTGTATTATTTTAAGATATATATTGATCCATGAGTTGCTTATGATATTTTGTAATGTTGCTATGAAAATTGCATCAGGAATTAGAACATGGACAGTTTGTTCGTGTGAGGACAGTTCACCTAAACGGAAAGCCTAGAGTTCTAACATTGAAGCAGGACTTGCACTACTGGCCCACATGGGAGCTGAGATTTGATCCTGATTCTGCTATGTGGTGCCGAAGGACAATTAAGGCACTAGATTATACTGGCATATAAACAATGCGTGTTCGTCTCGCGACACAGTTAGCGTTGGAAGCAGGAGGTAGAAATGCTTAAAAAGTTTCAGAAGCCCCTACAGGTCAGGGTTTCAGCACCTTGGCTCTTGGGCATCATACATGGAGTTTATTATATTCAGGCAGACAGCTATCTGCATTATCTATTCAATCATTGTTTTTAGGGGTTGGTTATAGACTGGAACGATACCTATAGATGTGATGTGAATTTGTTTAAGTGAAGAAAATAAAGGAAAAATGGAAATTTGATGTCACACAGCATTTGATAAGGTATTGTTTTAGGGCATCCAATACCGTTTATTTTATTGTATAAATTTTTATTTTTTATTTTTATTTTTACTCAGCATGGTCCTATTTGGTTGCTAAAGGATTCTATTAGCACATAACCGATAATCTTGTTTAATCTAATTCTAAGGTACCAAAACAAATTGAAAGGGCATTTGCGTCATGCATGTATATAAAGAATCTAGAGGGAACCGCAAATAGAGTGAGGCTAGTTGGCCAAGGCGTCCCTTTAAACAAGAGTTCAAACCCTCTCTCCGTATATTACAATAGTTTAGAATATCGTTCTTGTAGATGTTTTATGGTTATCCCATGTGATCCCCATTAGCTTAACACTAACAAATAGAATAAATCACATAATGACTTGATTTTGGTTAATTTATGAAATAACAATAGCTTGCCTGCAAACTCTATATAATTCAACTAATTAAATTTGAAGACACATGATCTTTCTGCAATCAAACCTAATAAACTAGAAGTTGGAAGTAATTTGAAATAATGAGGGTGCAAATTACAATTAGTTTGGTGCATGCAGAAACAGTCCTAGTCCTAGAGTCAACTGGCTAGTGGTTTGGACCTGATGAAATTATATGCAACTCCTCCTGCCAGGCATCCAGTTATTGGTCCCACTATATACACCCATAACCCTTTGTACACATGCTTCACAATCGCTGGCCCTAAGCTCCTCGCCGGGTTCATCGAAGCCCCTGAAACTGGCCTGCAATTTTTATCATATTTTGTGCTTTTAAATTTTATATATATATATATATATATATAATTTGAAATATAAGAAAAGTTACAAGGATTCCTGCGGATCTTATAAGCATACATATCAAACTTAATTCTATGTAAAACGGAAAAACAAAAATTAAAAAACTAGATACAAGGATATGAGTAACTATGTCCGATCTTCGCTAAATTATAGACTCCCATATTAGCTTCTTAAAAAATATGATGTATAAGTTCATTAATTTTGTACCTAAAACCTATAATAATATGTTTCATAGGAAGAAAGGAAGATGAGAGAAATCATGAACAAGAAAGGAAGGAAGAATTACCCAGCAATGAAGACATTTAATAGTATTGTCATTCCAACGGCAACCCCAGCTAGGTCACCAATCTGTCAAAAAGAAAAGAAAAAAGAAAAAAGAAAACTTGAAATAATTTAACTTTATTTTATTTTTTATTTTATATATATATATTAGAAGAATTGGAATTAAAAATGTAAATCCAAAGCCCGTATATATTTACCGCTCTACTATCTGTGGAAGCTCCAGAGATGACAAACATCAAGAGGAAGGAGATGATAATTTCAAAGACCAAGGACTGGCCGTTAGATCCAACTGGAACAGTTCCAAAGTAAGCTTTTGGGGTTACATCAAGAAGTACAGCAATTGTGCCGCTAGCCATGGTTGATCCCAATAGTTGAGCTACTATATATAATGGGACCTGTACAAATACATTAGTGCGAATATCAGTACAAACTTAATAGCACCCGAGAAATGAAATTACACTTGCAAGGAGGTTGTAACTTGAGTGATTAAGAATAGTTATCGCTTTTGTGTGAGTATTGCAAAGGTCTGTAAATCCTAGGTTCAATATCCCCCTTCTCTCAATATAGTATGTGTGCGAGTATTGATAATGAAATCTACATTTGAGTTTGACTAAAAAAAAGAAATAAAGTTCAACATCTTGTAACTGGATAAAAGGAAAAAATCAACATCTTTCGCTTTTTTAAGTAATGTGATTTTAATTGATACGATTGACAGTACATCTTTTTTCAAGATGAATTCGCTCGGTATTTATGAGAACACAATTTATTGGTTTGTGATTAATTTATATTTCAGTAAATCTAGTAGATAAGAGTGAATTCCTCAATCTACCAGCTACAACCGTGTTTATTTACAATACTATTAATTAAAGAAGTTGGCTAGCTACAACCTTGTTTATATACAGCACTACTAATTAAGGAAGTCGGCTCTTTAACTATAAACATGAGGCTTAAAAGTATATAATTACGAAAAAATGGTTAAACAAGAAAAGATAATTAAACAGACTAATTAATAATTAACCTCCCGGAAAGAGAACCGGCGAAGGATGGCAAAGGTGATGGTGACGGCCGGATTGAAATGTGCCCCAGAAATATGACCGACTGAATATATCATGGCCATGACAATGAGACCCCATGTTACACATACGCCAGGAAACGTGACGTTCCCATATATTTTGTTCACAGCCACCGAACCACACCCAGCAAATATCACGAAGTATGTACCAATCAACTCTGCAATCAACTGACGATCAAAAATCGATCGAAAAATCAGACACAATAATTCTGAGACCTTGATAATGTGTGAGAAACTTCTCATGTTGTAGTTTAGACTCTTGCTTGTATTAAAAGAAGAAAAAAAAAACCTATCGGCGTCTAATAGCACTGTCACGAGTCACAACTATTACCTTTTGAGGGAGGCTTGGGGGTGCAGCTGATGAACGAAAATCATCGGTTGTGTTGGTTGCTGGGTTATGAGAGGTGCTTACAAGACCTTTTTCTATCTTTGAACTTTCTTCTTCAATTCCATCAGATTCTTCTGTCGCCAATGCCATTGTTAGCAAAAGCAAGGACTGATGCTGGTTGGCTCTTAGAAAATTGTTAAAGAAAGAATGGTTGCTATTTAGGTTGAAATTTTGTGAAGTGTTGCATTATCATTAGTCAGTTGGTTTTTGGATATACTCGGAGGCGCTAAAAGAGATAATTAAGGAGATTTTGCAGACTTTGAAAGCGGATAATTAGCTTCACAGAAAAAGAGGATTTGAATAAATCATCAAATCCGGTAGAAGATGTAGGAATGAATAAAATAAGTCTAATAACGGGAAGATCCAGCTCCAGATTGCATTGCAAGCAAAGTCTTCCACTCTTTTCTGTATGATTCTAAATTCAACAATGAAATGAAATCAACATCTGACAGTGACAGAAATTGATGGAGATAGTGTTGCTTTCACTAAATTATTATATATAAAAATACAACATTTGCTTTACAAACCAGCTAATAAAGACATTTTCTATCTATCAGCCTCATACATTTTTCAGTTTATTAACACTTACCAGTCACTCGGCATCACAACAAAGGCCTGGACTGGCATAACTTTTACTAAATCATTCGTTTTTTTTTTTCCCTTTTTCTGGTACACCATGGAAATTTTATCTCACAGGAGGCCGTGTAAAAAAGACAAAGCTAGTTAAACCAAAACAAGTCATTTCAAAGACACTTCAGAGGTGCAAGTACTGATAGGCAGATCAGTTGGTGTGCATACCAGAGCCCTTTGCTGCAAATGTCTCAGGCTCTGCTCCATGCTAACTTGAACCATCTCGGCCAGCATTTTCTTCGCCTTACCGGACTGATCATCACCGTCAATCTGGGAGATAATGTTGCATACAATGTTCTCCAGTGTGTCTGCTTGAAGCTCTGATCTTGGATAGGGGGAGTCCCTCAATAAGTGCAAAAGCGTGTGTGCTTTTGTCTGAGACTTTGGTGTTCCTTGAACTGTGAGCTCGAGAAGTCCAGGGATCACACCATCTTTCAGAATTGCTTCTCTATATCTGCATCTGTCACTTTGGCACATTGTTAGCAGAGCACCAACCGCGTGCTCCCGACTTTGCAGCGATCCATTTTCGAGCACCTCAATCACTGCAAGCACTCCACCTTCTTCAGATGTCAATGCAGTTCTGCCCTCATCAAATCCCACCAGAGACTCTATCAGAGCACAGCATTTTTCGGCCGTCTTTGAAGATTTCTTGCAGGGTTTTAATAAAGTGACTATAGAAGGGATTGGTTTTGCTTCAAGAATGATGGTAAGGTTACTTGGGTGTGTTGAGAGATTGGAAAGAGCCATTACTGAATCAACTTTGGCTTGTGGGCTTCCATGTCTAAGGGTTTCCACCAGAAGAGGAATGGCACCAGAAGAACCTATGATTGGCTTGTTGACCGCAGAAGCCGATAGAGTGAGTAGAGATGCAGCTGCATACTCCTGCAGGTTGGAACTTTGTGACTCAAGGAAAGAAATTATTGGTTCTAAAGCACCAGCTTCCACAATCTTAATTTTATTCCTGTCAGATCAAATTCAAAGAAACAAAATCAGCAGATGAAAAACTAAGATTTACAAAATAGTGAACTCCTTCGTTCTTTCTTATTCTAGAAGGTATAGAACATTATATTTCCTTCCTCACCAAACAAAAAACCCTTTATTATCTAATATGATACCTTCAGGAAGAAGATATAAAAAGAAAAAGGAGAAAAAAACGATAGAGTAAGAACCAAAGAAAAAGAACAACCACCCCTCGAATCTTCGTTGGCTCCTCGAACCATAAAGCATCCAATTCCTTTCAAAACAAGTCTATCATAAAGCAAGCCCTCCTTTTGTTTTCTTAATGTCTACGAGTTTGTTCTTTGATGGCTTCCTGTTTGCCTTTCACTCCCTCATAGTGCACCTTTTTGGTTGCTACTAATTAAAGATATAATTATCTTTAATCACGTAGTGGATTTCATTTTAGTCTTCAACCGACAGTTCATTTTCTCCAGTCATAGAAGACCCAATACATACAGTTCTTCTTTTATGCGGACATTCGTTCGTTATTAACCTCATTGTAAACAGAACATCTGCATAGAAGAAAATCTGTATATATACATATTCCTTTTAATATCAAAATTTACTGAGAAATTTAGACCAATATCAAATTTCCTAACTTTCTTTCTTGTGCCAATATAACCAGTTTCAAATTTGCCCTTATTTGGTCTCTCTCATAACATGAACAAATTTATTTTGACAAGTCCAAAACGTTCGATGATAAGAAAACAAAATCTGACCCACAACTTTTGCAAATTGTTTCCCCCATAATTTTCTCGGCTACCAATCAGATAAAAGAAAAAGTAAAGTGGAAAAGAAAAGAGAGAAAAAGAAAGAAGAGAAAAAAAGAGAATCCCCCGAACAAGATCCTGTGCGACCTATTATTTAATACTAAATTCAAATATTTTTCTTCCTGGATTGAGGAATCCGAGGAAGAAAATTCCAAAACTCCCAAAAAAATCAATTCACAAATTCCAAGAGATTTATTAGTCTCCAACAAATTCGAACAAAAAAGAAAAGACTTTGAATTAAATAAAATTCAAAAGAAAAAAAAAAAGAGTTGGGTGGGGAATGTTTTACGTACGTCTCATCCTTGACGGCGAGATTGAGGAGAGCGAGGAGGGCGGACTCGTGAGACTCAGTCGAGTCAGGGACTCGGAGCATGGCCACGAGCGGGCCCACCGAGGCCGACAGCTGGCGCCGACACCTGTGCGAGGTCTTGGTGAGGCGGCGAATTTCCTGGGCGCCCTGGAGCTTGGAATCCTGGTTGTCGGATTGGATAAGTTGCAGAGCGCGTTGGACGGCTGAGGATGGTGAGGAAGTGGGGGAGGACGATGAGTCTGGAGTTGAATTCAGACCGTCGGATGAAGAGCGGGAATCCATTGAATTGTAAGAAGAAAAGAGAAGAGGTGAAGAAATGGGTATAATTTAGATTGGTGGTGGAGTTAGGCAAAAACAGAGAGAGAGAGAGAGAGAGAGAGAGAGAGAGAGAGGAAATATCTGAGTTGGGGATTTAGAGGCTGAGAAGCTCAGCGAGCCTCAAAGAGAGAGAGAGCGACAGAGACAGAGAGAGTTGGCGTTAAGCAACAGTTCGAAACTTTTATTTAGGACATGAGCAGTCCTTGTCCGTTTGGCTTGTCTTTTGAAGATTTGTCTACTTTTTTTCTTTTTTTTGGTTTAAATTTTTTGCTGGGAGCTCACTAGCTTTTGCCTTGTGTCTTGTTTCTATTGGCAAATGGCCATTTGAGTCACAATACTTGTAATTAAGAAAGTTGTTTGAGGATGATATTGTTTTGCTCGTTCGGGCACGTGTTCGTTTATGATTTGAACCAGGATTGTTCGTGTCAATTGAATTAATCAAATAATAATAAACTCTTTAATTATCAGATATTTACAAGAATTGTTTTGGAAGACTAGCCGACGGAGAGAGAGAGAGAGAGAGAGAGCTTGCTTCAGATCCGGCAGTGTTCTCCGATGTTTTTGCGGATCTATGTTGATATGCTCTTCTTTTGGTAATTTATTGTCTCTATCACGAATATAGGCTAGTTTTGAATGTGCCTCATCTTGCAGGGCTGCTTTTTCAAGTGTTGATGCTTGGTCATGGTAGATCTACTATTGATTGGCGTGTTGGGGTCGTGGAGTGACTAGGTGTCACCATCTATATCATGTCTCATAGAATTATTAGCGGCATATGCTTTTCTTTCGTCAGAGTTGTTTTAGATTTTTAGTCTTGGTCTGTTTTTGTCAATAAAGTTCATAAACTCTATGAGTTTTCTATGTTTTTCCTCTCAGAATTCCAGAAACTTAGTTGAGTTGTTGGTTGTTCTTAGTCTCGTTAGGAGAGTTTCGCCTTTATATAGAACGGAAAGGAAAAAAATAAAGTTTTGGAAGACAAGGGCAAAACCATGAATTTTTCAATGGATGGCTGGCTAAAATTGTTCGTCGATTCCACCGAATGCTCCTATCTTTTGGCAAAGATCGGTGAGTGTTCTGTTATGCTTCATATGGTATGCCATAGAATAGATCGACGTAGTTCCCGTTCTTTTCTTATGCACTCGCTTTATATCTTTGACACAACTTAAAAATCTAATGATCAATTTTTTTTTATACTACAGTTTCTATAGTCTTTCTAGATATAAAAGTATACATTAAATCATTTAAACCATGCTAGTTCAAAACTCTATGGACTAATTTCCAATAAGCTTTAATATAAAACAAATACATAGTAAATGCAACCGAAAAACACATTATAAAAATGAAAATATGTTCAACAACAGAATTGAAAGTGTGCATATTTTTTAATGTGTATTTCTATTGCTGCCTTGCAACTAAATTAGGGTTTTAAGATTAAAACTTGTTTGGTATCCTACTCAAATAGGGAACTCAAAAACTTTGATTTTTCTTAAAAACAAACAGTCCTAAAATGCATATGTTTTCAGATTCAAAAACTTGTTTGGTATGCAACTTGAAGAGAAAAAAGATCTTAAAAAACTCATTTTTTCTGTTTTCAAGTATGTTTTCTTTTTTTTAGTTTAGGTTTTCAAAACTAGGCCTACCAAACGGATCTTTTGAGTTTGACTCAAATTCTATTTTTAAATTTAAAATTTTGGATTCAAATAGAATATCAAACATGCCCTGTGTTTTTATGTTTATAGCTATTACCTTGACATCAAAGAAGAGTTCGACCCAATTTTTTTTAATCTATGTCATAGTTGATCTGATTTGACAACTGAAGTATATTGACTTTACAAGGACTTACATGTTTTGCAATACCTTGTGAAGATATATAATTCTACTTTCTATGTAAGCTCTTTCACAATATATTGTCTCTCAAGAGGGGGATAGGTAAGACTACTAGTTGCTCGATCGGGACCCTAGCTTTTTTGTGAGCCAAAAACTATACGCGGAATTCTCCCTTGACTTGATCTTTAATTGAATTATGGAATTCTCTCTCAGAGCTACGAAACTAATGACTCTATTAGAAAGTAGAATTACCAACTTTTACATGAATTTTCAAGTGGATGAGATCGGTCGAGTGGTCTGAATTCGAGATGGGATTGCACGTGTTGATTTATTGAACGAGATTCATGCTAGGGAAATGTGAAGTTGCGAGCAGTGTGAAAGGAATAGCGTTGAATCTTGAGAATAAGCATGTAGGGATTATTGTCTTTGGTAGTGATACCGCTATTAAAGGAGGTCTTGTCAAGCGCATTGGATCAATTGTGGATGTTCTTGCTGGAAAGGCTATGCAAAGGCGCGTGGCCACTGCTTTTGATTCAACTCCTTTGCAATTTTTTTGCCTCATATTATGGGTGTGCAATGGGGGAATATTTCCTGGATAATGGAATACCCACATTAATAATCTATGATGATCTTAGTAAACAGGCGGTGGCATATTGACAAATGTTATTATTGTTACGGACCATCTTCTATATTTTTCTAGATTTGGATTTAAAAGAGACTCCGTTTACTCCCTTAATTTTATAGGCTCTAGCATCGCCGATTGTTACCTGTGTTGGCGAGTCCCTACTTAATTAGGATTTTGGTTACTTACCCATTTATATAGTCCTATTATAATTGAAATTTTTTCTATTGTAATTTATATTTATTTTCTATTCTAATTTGGGTTATTTCTTATTTTATTTAGGGTTGTACTTCTTTATAATACCTCTATATTGGAGAAGAATAAAGACATGAGCATATTTGAGCATATCTAAATATTTGCCCAACTTTGTTTGATATGGTATCAAAGCCAGGTTTTCTTGTGACCTATGGTTGAGTTCTCCTTGCAATTTTAGTGCTCTCCTCCCCTCCTCTTCAAGGGGGGAGGGGGGGTGAAAAAAAAATGTTTCTCTTTCCCATGGAGATATTGCCTTTTTCTTGACTCCGACAACCCCTTCTTTTCAAGGGGAGAAGGGGAGTGAATAGAAGTTGTGTCTACATGAATTAGCTAAAGTTGATATAAAAGGATTTGTTGCCATTTTTTTGCTGATGTTGTCGTTGTCGTTTTTGCTGCCATTGATGTTGCCTTTGCCCTTGTCTTTGTTTGCTTCGTTTTTCGTTGTCGTTGCTGCTGCCATTGACCTTGCCTTTATTTGCCCTTGCGTCCTTGCCTTGCCTTGCCTTGTCTTGCCCTTGCCTTGTCTTACCTTATTTTTTAGGGTTTGATTTTGCCTTTGTCGTGCCTTGATTTGCCTTGCCTTTGCCTTGCCTTACCCTATTTTTAGGGTTTGGTTTTGCCTTGTATTTGCTTTGTTAATAGGGTTTCTGTGTTCTTCTTTCTCTATTGCCATGCTCATAGGGTTTCTATGTTCTACCTTACCTATTAGTGTGCTCACAGGGTTTCTGTATTTTGCCTTACCTGCTGTTGTACCCATAAAGTTTATGTGTTCTACTTTTATGTATTCTTTTATGTGCCATATTTGTTAGGGTTTATCATTTGTTTCACTAGTGGTTTATGACAAGGTCTTCTCTACAGTTGTTCAATTGGTTAATGTCAAGTATGGTGTTCTATGACTCACTTGTCAAGTTGGACATGTGAAATATCTTTGCCCCAATTTGAGGGGGAGTGCTGGCGAGTCCTTACTTAGTTAGGATTTTGGTTACTTACCTGTTTATCTAGTCTTATTATAATTGAGCTTTATTTCCTATTGTAATTTATATTTATTTTCTATTATAATTGAGATTTATTTCCTATTGTCATTTATATTTATTTTCTATTCTAATTTGGATTTATTTCCTATTTTATTTAAGATTGTACTTCTTTATAAATATCTCTATATTAGAGAAGAATAAATATATGAGCATATCTGAATATTTACTATACTTTGTTTGACAACTTGTCCACGATTAATTTCAGATAGATGAAAAAAGATTTTTGTTATCAGTCATATGCTTGCTAGTTTCGCTGTCTAGATACCACACATCACCCATACTATCTCTATGACATGCGAGCAATAAAGTTTCTTTAGACTCTCCATCACCAACCTTGCTTTCATGCGTAAATCCAACTGCCCTATTTTGTTTTTCATCTTCTTGCTTGAACTGACACTATCTTATTATGTGCCCAGGCTTGTCGCATTAATAACACTTGAAATAACCATGTTCTCTTCCTTTTTTGAAAGCCATTTTCTCTTCCTCTATATGATGACGACGAACTGGAATTTTTCTCACCTTCACTTGAATTGTTTGACGAGACTCTTCCATTTTGAAAATAACAATTTCTTCCTCTTCCTCTTTCGCCTCTACCACCTTGACCACGACTGCGACCACAACCTTGACTAGAACCAATAGCTTGATTTCGATTGCCTCCCGTAAATGTAACTTGGGTCTTTAGAGCCTGATCAGATTGTGTGGGAGGAGGATTCCTCAAATTTATTTTGATTTCATAGGCCTCCAATTTTTCTTGCAAACTTGTATGGGAAGAGCAGAAATATTATTTGACTATTCAATGAAAGCCACAACATAATCAAATTTCGATGGTAAACTACGAAGAAATTTTTCAACAATTCTTGCATATTTCAAAATCTCCCCATTTGACGACATTGTATTAACAATTGTTGTAACCTTTGTGAAATAATTTTCAATGCTTTCACTTTCTTACATCTCCAACTTCTCAAATTCTGGAGTTGAACCTTCTTCGCACTTTGTTTGCCTTGATAGGTCGTCTGAATTTTCTCCCATACTTCCTTTGCATTTGCAGCTTTGGAAATTCTCTCATACACTATCATCTCAACTGTTTGATAGATGTGGAAAGGGTCTTGCTATCCTTCTTTCGATTTTTCTTCAATGCAATTCTTTGTTCTTGAGTGAGCGCCTGTTCATCTTCAGGCTCCTCATAATAGTCTTCAACTATATTCCACAACTCCACGGCTTTTAGTAGTACCTTCACATTGTTGCTCCAATAATCGTAATTATCATCGTTGAATTGAGGAATAAATGAAACAAAATTGTGCCCATTGCTTGATTTTGCATTTGACATATTGAAAGTACTTCAATTAGGCTCTGATGTCAATTTGTAGGAGGAAGAGAAATAAAACAATACAAATGGACACTAATTTCTTAGGAGAATAGGCTCTTTC